GTGCTTTGATATCTTTCTAAATGGCCTAGTAATGAAGGAATAGAAAAAATTGAGAAGTTTTACTACATGCGCATGGAGAGGAGGGTTTTGGTATAAGTGAAGCTGGGGGAATAGATAGAGTGTTTTATCTATTTAGGCCTGGATCACTATTTATCTGTCACCTATTTCTGAAATGGAACATTTTGACTTTTTACAGTAAGTTTCTTGGAAAACATGGCATAGAGGGAAAGAAGTAAGGCTGATAAATATTTATATTCACAAAGCCAAATCAGCTATCCTATATATTTTCCCTGAGCCTGCCTAAAACAGAAGACAGAATTTTCTTCAATCAAAAAAAGAATTTTCTTTTTGCTGAGCTTTTAAGTTTTTTTTTAAGAAAACTTTCAGTATTGAATTGCAATGTCTGTGACTAAACACTGATTTTTATGTGGCTCTTTTTTTCTAATTACATTTTGGTGAAGTTGGAAGCATTGAGTGATGGGTAAACATTTATTATGATTGTCTCACAGATGGATCAGATGAATCAGAAACAAAAAAAAAAATCTTTAAATCTGTAATTGCTTACTGGAGTATAAAAATCTAAATCTGTATGTTTTGTGGGCAGAGTCTAGAGTAGTTCAGGTCAGAATGTGATTTACTTAATTAAACTGGTCTCAGTGCAAAAGGAATGTGAAGACAACTGTTACAAAGGCATAACTGTGATCCCAAGGACAGTATATTTATAGAACTGAGGAAGCTTCTGCCCATTCAGTGTATTTCTAAGTACTCTGAAGAAGGGACACAAGCAGTGATGCATCAGAGAGGTGTCTGTGCAGAGCTCTTGGGGTACCCAGGGCTCCCTCCCTTCCCACATGGTTTTCCATGCCATGAACTTGGATATGGCACAGGACACACTGCAAAGGAGTGCTTCAGTATAAACAAAATATTTCAGCTTGAATAAAAAGTGGAGAGGGATGACAGACATCTTCATAGTCATGGATGTTATTCAGAGAATCAATAGGGAATGGTTATTCATTGTTTTCCATAAAATCAGACATAGGGGACACCCAGAGTTGTTCTGTGTCTGCCCTGAATTTCTTGAAGCACAGGTAGAAATAGAATACAGGAAAGACGGGTTTAACAACAGTCCATTTTGTGCATTAGACTTGCTTACTGGAAATGGAAACTGTTGAAAATACATGAAATGCCATTTTTCTTTGTGCTGTAAGTGACCAAACTATCAACCAGGAAATTTGTCTGTAATATTCACATAGGCACAGGAGAAGCAAAGTAGCACGAAAAAGACTAATCTTTATTCTCTGGGTTTTGGGTTGTTTTTTGGTTGGTTGGGTTTTTTTTAATTTATTTTTTTTTTGGAGGGGGTGGTGGTCACAAAAAGGTTTTCAAGGATAAACCAAAATCATGGTATTTCACAGTTACCTTCACTGATTTGGAATGTGTTAGGGCTGATTTTTCACATTCAGAATCTCATTAACTAAGCTGGAAAATCACCAGCACTAATTTTCAGGAACACTCCATGCCAACAAGCTTTGCCAAGCTAGGTCTCACCCTTTCTGCTACTTCTAAATCACCAGTGGATCTTCCTCGAGGCTCGCTGCTCTGGAACTAATAAAACACTCAGCACCATTCTGCTGGGTAGCAATTCAGAAGACAAGCAGGTGAACCAATTCCCTCCCTGCAGGGTGCTCAGGCCTGCTGGTACAGAGCAGACAGAATTACTTTGCCTTCATAGTTTGCAAAGAGAACAGAGCTGGTCAGTAGCAGATGTTGGTGAAGGTGAGTCAAAAAGCAATTAAGAGATGTCACCACCTGAGGCTGACTCAGAGAGCTGCAACAGAAGATTCCTGCAGTGGGGTAGTGGTGGCAATGTGTCAAATGTAATCAGCCCTCAGCAAAAGCTGGACTTGATGATCCTTGTGATTCCCTTCCAACTCAGAATATCCTGTGATTCTGCAAAAGTGCCCTTAAATTTACTCTTCAATGACAGCACCAGCAACACCGTTGCAGCATGAGCTGCTCCATTTCAAATCTACTTCATATTTGAGATCAGTGTTTCAGAGCACTCCTTCCCCACAAGTGGAATAGTGCTTTTAGTTCTTTCTTTGTATTTCATCCAGTTCTCAGGCAGCCGAGTTGCATCCCATGCCACATTAATGAAACATGTGATCCATTGTCCTCTATCCTGACAGGGCCCTTTCCAACTGGAATTACATTCTGATTAACCAATATTCCCCAGAGAACTTCAGGAACATCAGAGTTTCCAGCTAGTGAATATTTAAAAAGTAGTTTCCTTAGCAGAAAGAGAAGGCCACGAATTTTCAATACGCAGTTGGAAAAGTCTGCTGAACACCCTTAAGCATGCATTTGCAGAAGCATGCATTTGCAGAAAAAGCTAAAGTATAAATCCTTACAGATAAAGAAAGAGTGGCAGGAGCAAGATTTCGGAGCTCAGAAGGGATTTTTTGGGAATTGCTGTGAATTACAGCCATGGCTTTTGCTCCACAGACCAGAAGGCTGGGCTGATCAGCTCTACAGAAAAATTTAAAAAATCACATTAACCTGTATGAAACCAGAGTGGTTGTATCTGCAAACTATCAGCAGTTCAGCAAATCACTCTCATAATTTTGGTGTTTGGACAATGCTCTTGGGCATTGGTGTGATTTTCTGGGCAGAGCCAGGATGCCGAGCTTGATGATCCTTGCAGGCCCCTTCTGACTCAGGATAGCCTGTGATTCTACAGCCATAGCTAGGCACTGTGCTCAGTACTACTGGTCTTGGGGTTTCAGTAGTTTTGGAAGAACTCGAGACTAGAGTTAGTCCATTAAGTATTGTGGCCCATTTTCAGCACACTGATCTATGTTATATGTCTCACATAATTGTGCTTTCATATAAATTATTGCTGTTCTAGTATTGTGCTAATATTGAAAATGTACATTGAAGTTTTTGAGTTTCTGAATGAAAGAAAGCCTTTTAAAAAATACTGATTCTGTCACTACTTTTTGAGGAGATTGTTATTGTTTGGTTTTTGGTGTTTAGAGGTTTTGTTTGTTTCTTTATTTTTTTTTTTCAGGAAGAAATGTAAATCTTAACCTGATAACTTGTTTTTGACCAGAACAAAACAAAGAAACCAGGAACAAGTCTTTCACCCTTAGCAGACTGTAAGTTCATTCATGGAAAAATTGCTCCTGTACTTGGTTGTGATTCTGTCCCCACTACATACAGGAGAAGATTTGAATTCAGAGACCTCTGGAAGAAATAAAACTGTCTGGAAGAAATAAAACTGTCTTGAGAGATTACCTTCAAGTGACACAAAGTATAGCACCTAAACTCCAACACCAGTTTTAAACTTGTTTGCCCTGAGGAAAACAATGTATTTTCAAAATATACATAGTACCCAGATTGGCTGCCACTTGGAATGGCATCTGAGACTTTTAACCCATGAAACCACATCTGGGGTGCTATAGAGCCCACCTGTAAATAGCAAATTAGTTGCTATTTAATTACAAAGTAATCCCCCCTTCACAGCAGAAGGTCTTGCAGAACTCCAGTTTCAGCTGAAACTGGATGTCGCTCCCCAAAAACTCATTGTGCCCACAAGAGGTGAGCCCACTCCTAATGTTGGCTGGTGCTGAGGAGCCCACCAGAGCCCCCTGGTGAGACAGATTCTCCAGCCTCCTTGGTGATCTTTCAAAAAGGAAATTCTCAAGGCTGTACACACTTTTGTTGGTTCCACAGCATTCAGACAGCCCAGACCTGGGCAGGGAGTTTAGGCTGCACAAAGAGCTCTGTGAGCCCAGCATAATGTGGGGGCCTGCCAAGAAGGAAAAAGAGGGCTCATAAACAAGTTGGATGCAAGACTGGAAAGGATACTAAGTAAGTTTACAGATAAAATTGGGAGGAGCTGTTGATTCCCCGAATGGCAGAGGCCTTGCAGACAGACCTCGACAAATCAGAGGGCTGGGCGATCACCAACTGTATGAAGTTTGAAAAGTTTTTGAAAAAGTGCTGGTTTCTACACCTGGAATGGGGCAACCCTGAATGTAGAGACTGACTGGGGAACTAGGAAAGGGACCTGGGGGTCTTGGTTGATGGGAAGGTGAATATCAGTCAGCCGTGCCCTGGCAGCCAGGAGGGATAATCCTGCCCTGGGGGCATCAGGCCCAGCATCGCCTGCCGGGCAAAGGAGGGGATTGTCCTGCTCTGCTCTGAGCTGGGGCGGCCTCACCTCGAGTGTTGTGTGCCACAAAATAAAAAATTATTAAAGCTATGAGAGAACTTCCCAAGGAGGGCCACGAGGAGGGGAAGGGTCTGGTGGGGAAGCTGTATGAGGAGTAGCGGAGGGCACTTGGTCTGCTCAGCCTGGAGAAGACTGAGGGGAGAGCTCAGTGCTCTCTTGTGAAGTGACCTCTTCTCTCTGGAGACCAGACACAGGACGTGAGGCAATGGGCGGAAACTGTATCAGGGGAGGTTTAGCAAAAGGTTCTTCACCCAGAGGGTGGTCGGGCACTGAACAGGCTCCCCAGGGAAGCGGTCACAGCCCCAACCCCGACAGAGTTCAAGGAGCGTTTGGACATTGCTCTCAGGCACATAGTGCGAGTCTTGGGGCGTCCTGTGCAGGGCTAAGAGTTGGACTCGATGATCCTCCTGGGTCCTTTCCAGCTCAGCATATTCCACGACTCAGAGTTTATCGACAAACGCGAGTCCCAGAGCAGGTTTCGCTTCACCGCGCGGGGTTCGCGCCGCCGCTCCGGGCGCACGGAGGTGACGCCTGAGGGGCGGTGGCAGCGGGCGGGGCGGCGGGGCCGGGCCGGCGCCTCTGCCAACCCCGCCGGGCGCTCGGGACGCGGCGGAAAGAGAAATTTTCCGCTGCGGACGAAGCTTTCCCTTCCCTGTGGGAAGAATGGAGCAGCCGCGGTTCCCGAGCGGCCGGGCCGGGATGTGAGGGAGGCGGCGGCGCGGCCGTGACGCGGCGCGGGGCGGGGCGGGCGCGGTCGGTCCGGCCATGCCGAAGCGCTCCTGCCCCTTCGGGGACGCGGCCCCCCTCCAGCTGAAGACCCGCGTGGGGCTGCGGGAGCTGAGCCGCGGCGTGCGGGGCGAGGAGTACCGGCGGGAGGTCTTCGGTGAGCGGGGCGTGGAGGGGGGAGCGCCGGGCCGGCCGGGCCGCCGCGGGGATGTGCCGGGCCGCCGCGGGGATGGGGAGCCCACCCCTAACTCTGCTCTCCTCTCCCGCCGGCAGAGAGGACCCGGCGGCTGCTCTTCAGGGGTGCCCAGGCGTACATGGAGGGCGCGGCGGCCGCCGCCCGTCCGGCGGAGCCGGGGCCGGCCGGGAAGGCGCTGGGCGAGGGGCCCCGCTGGAGCGGGCAGCTCCTCATCGGCCACGACGGGAAACTGCGGCGGCGGCCCGCGGACAGGGGTGAGTGCCCGGGCCGTGTCATAGAACCGCACAATAACCTGGGCTGGAACGGAGCCATCGAAGTGCAACTCCTGTCCTGCCCAGGACACTCCCGATGTTCCCACCGTGAGCCTGAGAAAGTTGTCGGAATCATTCTTAAACTCTGGCAGGGTTGGAGCTGTGACCGTTTCTCTGGGGAGCCTGTTGCAGTGCAGACCACCCTCTGGGTGAAGAACCTTTTCCTAATATCCCGCCCAAACCTCCCCTGACACAACTTGAGGCCATTCCCTCTATTCCTGTCCCTTGGTCACTGCAGAGACCAATGCTGTCCATTGGCTTCCCCTCCCAAGGAGGGCTGTACTATGATGGATAATTTTGTGCTGTGTAGTTCTTCTTTATTGACATTCCTTAAAGGGAGCGTTAGATTCCATCTGACGGATTTCGAAACAGCCGCGTGTATGTTCTGCTTTAGCATCTCTTAGCGTCTTGCCTCTGAGCAGAGAAAGAACCAAGAAAGTGCCAAGCGGCGCTCCCTGTCCCTTTGCCTGCCCGAGCTTCCTGCGAAGTGCTGCCACCTGTAGCTGTGCGCGGACGCGCCGCGCTCTGCATCTCCTGGGACTTCCAGCTGCTTTCTCTGCCTTGCTGTAAGGCTCAACCATTCTTATCGGTGTCTTTGCCAAGCAGTTCCGCCGCTGGGAGCATCCAGAGCCTGCTCGTCGTGTGTGAGAGCGGCCGATGTGAAGGACGCGTGTGCGCAGTGTGACCGCTTCGTCTGCCAGAACTGCAGCAGGCTCTGCAGCTGCTGTAACACGGTTACCTGCTCTTTGTGCTCCACTGTTGAGTAAGTGCCTTTCGAGTTTGGAAGCTTATTTTAATTACACATGCCGTAATAGCTGGGTAAAGCAGTTATCTAGCTCATACACATAAAAGAGTTAAACTCTTCCCAAGCTTTAGCAGCAGTAAAGCTGTCTGAAACTTGTGAACCAAGATGCCTGTGTGAAGCACTAATCAACTGTAGTGCAAGTCTAGTTCAGCTTCTTATTTAAATGCTGTAGGAGGCAAAAAATTATTTTGCTTTCCCTCCAGCAATGTAGCATGCTGGCCGGTGCTGAATGCATGTACTTCCAAGGAATAATCTTAATTTTTTACCTCATTGTTAGCAGTTCTGTGGTATAAAGAAATACTGAGTGGGCTGTGTGGGAGTCCTATGGTTGCAGTTGATAATGGAATAGTATGCCATTATTATGTTCCAGAAACAGTAGGCACACTGACTTTTTTTTTTGTTTGTTTGTTTCTTCTGGTTTGTTTGTGTTGGTTTTTTTTTCCCTAGTTATGGTGATATGGGAGAGCAAGTTCTCTGCAGCGGTTGTTCAGTATTTCAAGTCTGAAACTTGATGAAATAACCCTTGTGGCTGAAACGTCCATGAATTTAATGAAGTCTTCTCCTTACAGCTGGTCAATTAATCCTTTCAGCATGTGAATTAGTTTTGGAATTTCTATGTTTTATATCTTTATATTGTACTTTTAAATATTTTAGCTAAATAAACATTTATATTTTAAAGCTTTTTAGATTATTTTGAGTCGGCTTTCTCCTTTTCCCTAGTTGTGATATGCCTGTCTGGAAGGGACCACTCTGTGCTCTTACCTGTTCTTCCTGATGTGACACAGGATTCAGAATATTCTCTCCTTGCATTGGTCATGTTAGGACACTTTTGTGGGATCAGAATATAAATTAAAAGGTTTGTGCTTCTGTGCTTTCAGGTGAGTGTGAATCCATTCTGGACACACAACATTTTCTTTGTGAGCTAACTAGGAAAATCAGCCAGGCCTGAAGGCTTTTCCAAATAAGAGAATTTGCTGATTCTGGTTACATTTTTTTTTAACTAGCACAAACATCTTGTGCTTTCTGACAGCTTGAATGGTTTTAATCTGCCTATGGTAACTTTGACAGAAAGAGCAATAGCACACCAGGCTTGGAGCAGAAGAGTTTTTCTCATTAGTAAATTTTCCAGTACCTTCACTGAAAGGTCTTTCTTGGAAAGCAATTTGTCTGTGTGAGTTGATCACCTACACTGTAAACTTCATATTGTCCTGAATATCCACTCAGAAACAGCTCATGAAGTGGTCTGAAAAATGGTCAGCACTCAGGGGTACCTCTCCATAAACCAGCTCATTCCCTATTTTCTTTTCAAATCACTGCAGAAGCTTAGTATTGTTTGTGCTGCAAGAGTGAAGTAAAGTACTACTGGACAGCCCCTCAAAGTAGTTTTCTTGTACTGGTTTTGCTGTGTTTCATAAAAAAAAGACTTTTCATCTGGCAAACCATCTATGCCTAGAAGAAAACTACAGGGTCTTTACCTCAGTAAAATGCTGATTTGAGTGGCTGATTTCAGACTGTAGGATAAAAGGAATAGATTTGACACACACAAGAAAAGAAATCTTTGTGGCACGGCTAATGGTCTGTTTTTCAAATTCTTTGCCCTGAATTCCTGAAGCAAAACCTGCCACTCATGCTTCTCAATCTTCTCAACTGTAATTAGTATGTTTTGGGTGGAGTAACCTTGTTTTACCTGTTTCCCTCCACTTCAGCCATTTCTGTTTGAAGAGGTGGAAAGGCCATTGCAGTGCAATTTGAGAGCCTGACTTTTCCCTCATGGGGACACCTTTATATGACATTCTCTTGAAGGCATTCTGGGTATTTGCCCATCAGAATGCTGCAGCTACCCAAAGTGAATGGTAAATGCTTTAGCAAAGAATGGGGGTTAATGTTGTTGGAGAGCAGCTCTTCACAGCTGCCTGGCATGGCTTTGGGTGTATCAGCCACAGTGAGGTGCAGGATGACATCCGCTCTTGCCTGTGTACCACTTTCTGTAACTACACAGACACACTTTAAAAGCATTTGTGCCCTTTAGGGTTTCCTGAGGGGTGTTACTTCACTCTCAACCATCTGTGCCAGCTTAGACTGACCATCTGTGCCAGCCTAGACATGCTGATGGATTGGGTTAGTTTTCCTGTTCTGCATGTTTTGGAAAAAATTAAAATGGGAGATTTTACTGGTTCTTACTCCAGTCTTCTTTTTGAGTAACTGTGAAATGTGTCTTATTTTCATTCCCCTAACAAACAAACAAAAAAATCTCAAGTCAGGTGACTTAGTTGTGAAAGAGTTAGTTGGAATGTGCAGAAATTTCACAGCATTATCTATCTTTTCAAAGCTCTAATAGATGAAATTAGGATGGTGGCAGTTCTCTGGTGTGCAATTCCCAGCTGGTACCACAGGGCAGATAAAAATGTTGCTCCTGTGGCAGTCATTGTAAATCACAAAGCTGAGTTTTATGGATAGGAAGAACCTATGGTTTACTACATTTAGATGTTAGTTTTAGGAAAGAGTTTTAAAACTTGGCTTTGTTTCATTTGAAGCTTTAAGCAGTGAACTAAAGCATTTTTCAGTTAAGCATATTTTTCAAAATGAAACCTTTAAGTATGTGTCTGCTGTTTTACTCTCTCTCCTGAGGATGAGAGACTGAAAATAATGTTTTGCTTCTAGGCTCTGGGAGAGATGAGACGTTGTTGTTTACAAATGATTTGTGTTTCAAACTAGTGATAGAAATGTTTTTTTGGCTCATTTAGTCACTGCTGTATTTCACAGAAAGCTGTCCTCTGTAAACAATGACATGGATTTCATGGCTTAATGTTCTTATTTGTTATCCTGTAGCTGCTTGAAAGCTGGTTGTGCATTGGGATAGATACTTAATGCAGCATGGAGAGCTGGGAGAGGAAAAGCAGGAGGGGTGGAAGAAGGGAGGAGAAGGGCAGGAGGAGCACAGAACAGCATGGCCAACTCTTGCATAGGGGTGGTGCTTCATACATGTAAGAAACGGAGTTTAGTGGTTACCACATCTGCTTCTCTGGCTTCAGAAGGTGAGAAAACTGCCTGTGTCTACCAAAAGACTCAAAACATTATTTAGGAAAGTTCTTTTTCCTAGTCCTGCAGTTCTCAGATAAACAGTGTGAGGTAAGACTGGAGAATGTTTGTAAATCTTTATAATGTCTACAGAAAAAAAGAACCTGTGTGAAGGAAAAAATCTTTGGGTGAGAGATACAAAGATTTTTCTCTTTGCCTAATTAACCCCTCCTCCCAAGAGCTTGTCTGTTGCCACTTATTGTTGAGCTGTAATAGAGTTACAATGCAACACGTAGGGTACCCATAGGACTGTAAAGAAACACCAGAGAAATTGTCTGGTTTATCAACTGAGCAGGAAATTTGGTCTAATACTGTGCTTTTTTGTTGTTATCATATGTTCTTCCCCTCCTACTCAGTGCAAAGTGTCAAAAGTCTAAGTTTGCCTGCTGTTCCAAGGGAAGGCAATCCCCTGAGGAGCTGGCGTATTGATGGGTAAAAATGTCCTGCAGTAATGATTTTACAGATGGATGAGAAACTTCTGAGGCCTGTATATCATTACTGGTGACATATGTCTCAAAGAGCAGACCTTTAAGTCTAAAAGGAAGTCAGCTGATCTGATCAGGATAAAACAATTTCTTTTAAGACTAATAACTGAGTAAATTCTAGAAATGTGTGGTTTCATAGACACTAGATATTTAAGGACAGTCTAAGGTGGTAAATGACTGCAGTAGCTTCCAGTGTCTCCAGACTGTATTAGAACAAACCCACAGCATTGTAAAAAAAGCTTGCTGAAAACAACAAATACACTTGGGTTGTCTCCTTGAATAGCATTTCTCCTGTGCACATAGTAATTCCCAAATATTTTGCAGTTTAGTTTGGAAGTCTGCTTCTTTCCAAGAGAAAAGTGAGCCATTCTACAGGTGATCCAGACAACATGAAAATTAAAAATAAATAAATGTTAACCCTTCATTCTGTGATTGATGTGTCTTTTGTTTAAGACAGCCAGCACCTCAGCCTCTTCCCCTCCTTTTTGTTTTAGTGTCCTACACACATGGGCCCCGACTTGTAGCCAGTTCATAGGCTTTTTTTTGGTATTCCTTTCTGAACATGTGTAAGTAGATGCAGTTTGTATTTATCAGGACAGGGTATAAACCCCAAATAATGCTGGTGAGAGTGAAAGATAATGTCCTTTTTTTCCTTACAAATATGGATAAGACATTTATGCTTTGCTTCTGTGCTGTATTTGCTGCCATCAGCTGTGGCACTCACACCTGGCAGAAATATGCAAAGGGATTGAATCTTTTCAATCTTACTTCGAAGAAGTGCAGCCCACAAGTAGAAATGGAAACAGTGTCTTTGTCCCCAGGTTTGTTGGGCTTGTTTTCTTTTGAAAACACTCTGGCCTCTGGCTGGATTGGTTAGACAACAGGAAATGCCAGCACCATGCAAGGAATAAATAATTCTCTCTTTCACCATGCTCCCTACCAGTCATTGCATGATGGTTTTGGGTTTTGACAGGATCAAACTGGATTAAAAAATTGAATCCCAGAAAATCTTGCCTGTCATTAAGTTCCCAGGTATGGAGTATGTGTACAAACTTGCATCTGCTGCTGCACTGTAACTTTTGGTTAGGTGTGATACTGTTTCATCATGGCAAATTCTGCAACTAAAAGCTCTTTGTGCTGGCTTTACTGCCCATCTGTATTCCAAGAGTGCTGACTACCTGGCCATGAAGCCCTCTGTGCTTGGAGAAGCTCCAGCTGGGATAGAGTGTGACAGTATCTCCACAGCTTGGTCTGTGTCTGTCCTCTGCTCCTTGCAGTGCTTTACAGTCCTTTGTCAGACTGATCTTGGATCCCAGGCTACTGCAGGAACATGTGGGGTTGTCCAAGCAGAGGGAGGAAAACCTCAGCCCACCCAACAGCAGCACTCAGACACGTGCAGAACAAAACTGCCGGGGCAGCACAGGGACTCCAGAGCCCAAACTTGCAGCACAACCTCGGATCTGGCAGCTTGGAAATGGAGAGGGATGTGGGGGCTCTTCCCATGGAGCATCCTTCTCCCAGCAGGCTTTTAAATGAGGACAGGTAAGGCTGAGAAACAGCCTTACAGGGTACACCTGTACCCCTGTGTTCAGGTACCTGGTACTCTTTCCTCCACTCTCTTTAGTAAGAGAGTAGAGGTAAAAAAAAGAAAGAGAAGGTAACAAAGCTTTGAACATTGTTTTTAATGAGGTAAATTGGTTAACCTATTAAAAGTAGCCAAGAGGCGTCAGAAAATGTTAATGATTCTTTAAGAAATAAGTAGGATATATGTAATTTAAAGACAAATACTTCTTGTGGGTAGAAAGTTTCTTATTTAAATTCTTTTTTATTTTAGATTATTAAAATTGCAATAGGGTGAAAGTGATCACACAATCTGTTGTATATTTTAATGACTAATACACATGCACACACAAATATAATCTTTCTTTATATAGACATTTTATATTGAAAGATAATTGAAATACCATACCCTTTACAGTTGATTGCATTTTGAACTGCTACAATTGTAATACAAGCGTTAACATTTGCTGATGGTGTGTATTCTGGGCTTTTGTTACTTTGTTTTCTTCCTCTGGGAAAGAGCACAGCTGGAATCAAATTATTATGTCTTACACTTTTAA